GAAACCGGGTTTGGCAAATCCCTGGTTCGGGTCCGGCAAGTGGGGGAAGAACAGGGGATTGGCGTGTAAGAAGTGGAGGAAAGTGGGTTAAAAACAGAGCTCAAATTTGGGGATTTTTTGCAGTGAAGCCATGAGAGTTCACTCCCTGTGTCGAGAACCATGGTGACGGGCTGAGGAGGCGATCCAACGGTCAAGGAAACAGTCAAAGTGACATTATGCTGAAAGCTGAGCTTATTAGAAGGCTGCGAAACCAAACCCGCCTGGGTTTTGAGGGGTAAAATAAGCGCCTGAGTTGAAGAAAAACAGAGGCTCTGTTTCACAGAGAGACAGCAGATGAGGAGTTGCAGAAGGTGGATGAAGAAGGCCATGGTTTCGTGATGAACCCAAATCTAATTTCCAATTCTCGAAGACTGAAGGAAAATACAATGGGTTGTTTATTTTTTTTCGAATGGATTTGTTGGGACTGAAAATCAGAGTGAGGGAGCAAGAAAGAGGGGACTGTTCTCTGAGTTTCTTAAATAGTGGGTTTTGTGTACGAAAACGTGCAATAAGGAGTAGGCAAAAACATTGTATGATTGTACCATTAATTTACATTATCATTTTTTTTTTGTATTTAATAATATATTATATGTGGCCACATTAATTTTTTTTAACTTGTGCAAAGAGGCTTTTAGTATGGAAAAATAAGAATGGGAAGCTTTCGAATGAGGTGTTTTTAGAATCAAATGATTGAAAATGAGACTTGTATTATTGTATAGGTCACTGATAATGTGAAATGAATGGTTGATTTGTTTGATTTTTTTTATTTGTTTATTTGTTATTACGTCTCTTTACAAAGTCTTGATTTTTAAGATTGTTTTTTAAATAACCAACTTTAATATTTTCACTTACATAATTATATGTTGTAACAACAGCATGCATCCTCATTAATATAGATATTTTATTGACATAAATATAGCAATCACAAATACATGCTAATCACATAATTTAATTTTGTGATCAATCCATTGAATATTGTGCTTTCATTGCATAATGTTCAAGAATTCAAAGTTTTTGCTAGGTTAGCAACTTTATTATTTTTTTTTTACAACATATAGAGTAGGGATGAAACTTACAATCTTTTGATTAGAGATATATACCAATTACTGCTGAGTTATGCTCACAACATGTTAGTAACTTTATAGAACAACGGCTTGCATCCTCAGTTTTTTCATATAAAGTCAGTAATCTAACATAATCGTGTCAATATGGTTTTTTTTCCTTCTAAATTGAAGGTCAACAGACAAGGATTTAGAATAATTTATGTTCTAATAAAAAACATGTATACATAATACTAAAAATCATACAATTAATATCCTGATAAGTTGAGTTATATTATATCTGACTATACTAAAAAAAATTTGTTAAACGAGTAGTCATTTAACCTTTTACAAGTCAAAAAGTTAGAATTTCTATTTTCACATTTTTTTAGTACATCGATCATGGGTTTGGTAGAGATTCGAATCTCTGACCTCGCATAAGTTACTTCATGCTTTAAAAATTCAAGTCAACCTTATCTTATATTAAGAAAATAAATCAACCATACCAAGAAATTAATTTGGTCTCTATACTTTTGATTTTGATTATTGTATTTTAAAAACGTTCATTTTGATTCTTAAACTTTTAAAAAGTGGCTACTTTAGTCTATTCATTTTAATTTTTATGTTATTTTTTATTATAATTTTAACATGACACTTCACTTGTTAAAATTGTTGAAACGTAGCCATAAATTTGTATTTAAAAGTTTATACTATATATAAAATGTGTTGAAATTTTGTAAGTGGAGGTAAAAATCACTCCTTATTCGAAAGAAATATACCAAAACAAATATTTTGAAAGTATACAACCTAAAATGAATAAAAACTAAAAATATAACACATGTTTTGGTAACACCCGGTTTAAAAAAAAAATTTTTTTGAATGGCCCCAATACTTGTTGACTCAAAAATGATAAAGCAATAACTCTCTTTTTTTTTTTTTATCATTTCTATACAATTAAAAAAAAGTTTCTAAAAAGTGGGGAGTAAAAAAAATACATTACCAATTAAGTATGATGGTCCCTTGATTGGAGTTTGATGAGTGATTGGCGGACTCCGCGTACAAATATACCTCTTGCTCTTGTATTAAATATTTTATTTTCGAAATCTAAATTATTATAATTTTCTTCTTCTTTTTTTCCTCGAAAATGGGATCCGACTGTTCACCCATTTTGAATTTTCAATTTGGTGTTTTTCGATGACCAAACATGTCCTAGTATTAAGCGCCCTCTACAATTTACAGCTGGAGACAAAATTTCATACTTTATTATCACAAATTTATTGCTTTTTCTTTACATATATTTATTTCCTTGAATATCTCGTTTTCAAGTTTCAACTATTTTCGTTTCTCTCAAAATTTTATTAATTATTTAACATAATTCTCAATTTTATATCTCAAAAGTTTAAGAAAAATAATTTGATAAAAAAAAATAACGACAACTAAAATTATATCGATATACAATGTTTTTATTTATAGATATATATATATATATCAAGATTTATAAAATTTCATTTCAAAATTAATTGACATTGAAAAGAGTAGTTCAATCCTATAAATTTTGTTAGATCCAATTATTTTTCTTAATGTAAAATCATTAACAATGTACCACGTATTGTGTAGTTACACTAGAAATAAACCATAATATACTTCTAAAGAAAAGTCAAGATGATTTTATATCAAATCAATCTATTTCTAATAACGTAATAAAAACTTTGGTTCTGATAAATTTGTAAAAGCTTATTAAATATGCAGGTTGACAATTAAATGTGATCCTATACTTCCCAAATAAGACCTGCATCTGAATTTTGATGTTGGGTAGCTAGTGGGGAACAGCCCAACCGGGGATCAGCTTCCATTACAATTCCCTTTCACTATTATTTTTTTTATTTTTACTTTTCAGAATCGAGTTCTTGTGAATTATGCTACTAAATATCTGTAATACTTGAGATCCTTTGTCTTAGTTGAACAACACTGTGATAGAGTAGAGTTTGAATTTGAGACCTCAAAGTAAGTGGTACCACAAGACCCCAAATACTTGCCACTGCACCATTTCCAGACCCCTTTCATTGTTATTCTTGTTTTAACAAATTTAACATTATTTTGAAAATTTTCAAAATTATTCCCAAATGAATAAATCATTTATAATCAGGTAAGAAAGTGGAAAATTCGAACTTCTAATCTATAGAAAGTTAAGTAATGCTTTGACTAGTTGATTTATGTTTATTCTAACCATAGTTGACAATAAAAAAAAAATCATAGACATTTATTATATACCACTACATAAATTTAGTTGATTATATCTAACATCAAAATCAATTTGATATTGATAATCAATTGAGGCTTCAAATATCGGTAAAATATCACAATTTTGGTGGCTGAGTTGAGTCAAACTTGTTTTTGTCATTTTTAAAATTTTTTTGCAATAAATTCAATGCATCAACATGAAGATGATTTGATATATGCATATGTCAAATTAAAAAGGAAATTTAGAAAGCTTCCTCCAACCAAATTATAGAGGAAGAATCGTTTCCAGAAGAAAAATCATTGAAAGTAAATTCTCTAATAAAAAACCTAAACAACTATCTATGACGAATTAATTGAGAAAATAGTTAATGTTGACGTAGTAGAATATCATTCAGAATTTAAAGTCGAATATATTTATTTTTTATTTTACTTAAAAATGTCTTGTATTAATAAAAATATTATCTTTATCCTGATTAATTTGTAGGGAATTTATGTGTGAGACATTACATCAACGACAACATTTGACCGAAAAGGAAATATGCTGCTCTTCTTTTTCTCGTGCTTTCCAATTACATTGTCAAATAAGTTCCCAGCCGCCTGACAAAGTTGAAACTCTTTCTAAAAATAAAGTAGTTCTGATTTCTGAACTCAAAAAAAAAAAAATAATAATAATAAAAAATAAAGTCTGTCTAATTTTGTAATTATGCTTATCAAATTCAAAGGGATTGTCGGTAAAGTATCTTTATTCTTCCATATAAATAATATTTGATCTTTGTAACCCTATTTTATTCATGTAATTAAATTATAATATATGATCAAATTGCACCGCCAACAAATCTCTGTCCCTTTAATTTATAAATCTATATTTCAAACTCTTCTACATGTTCTATTTTGTGAGATTTTTCCCTCCAATTATTATTATAAATCTCTATATTGTAGATCCGCCTCTATTTACCAACACCTTTAATATCATTGTGGAAAGGTTAAATTTAGTTGTAAAAAAAAAATATCTTTGAACCAACTCCTCATCTCTGCTCTATAGAAAGAGTAGAACCTTATTAAAATTAATTCAATTTAAAGGTGAGAAGGTTTGAATTAAGAGTGAAATTAGAATATGATATGTGAATGATAGCTGGAAAAATTTGTTTTTGGCTTCAAATTAGACTTGTTGTCTGTAGCTTTCAGAAGCATGGAGTCTAAAGAAATATGACCATCAAATTAATAAAACAAAATTGTCTCTGCTTTCGAAATCAAATATCACACCACATATTTATTACAGCCTTCGGTTTTAGGCAAAACCAAACAACATTTGAGCTCACAAAATTTTCTACTCTTAGCTGTCTCTTTTAATGTAAATGTCTTATACTATGCATTTCCTTTTTTGTCCTATTTTCTACTTCTACGCTTCAATAATATCAATGCAAGAGGTCTCATCAAAATTATATTGGCCATTCATACTTATCCATAGAGATTCTATAGACTACTTTTGATCCAGACTTATCAAATGCTATATATATATATATATATATATATATTTCTTTTTGTCCGTTTAATAAGACTTCAATTCTTTTGATGTTTTAAATTTTTCATATACCTAGCTATGAGATTATAGATTCAAAAAGATTAAGAAACATTCTTCTATATATGAAAAATAAATTAAAGAAGATGTCAATTAGAAAAAAGTCAGCTCCTTAACTAAATAAATCCACTTTAGTGATCTATATTGAGACCAAACTAACAATTAATTTACTACTAATCATGACCAAGAGCATAGCTTTGACTGTATACTAGTAAACAACATAAATCATTCAAAAGAAGATTGAGCTTACCAGAGAATTAAAGCTAGGGTTAATTACACAGCCCCAAAACTCGAGTAAGAGTACGTACTAATAGTTTAATTATTAAGGATTTATTGACTACCAAACACCAAGAAGTGATCATAATTATCATATCTCTCAAACATGATTAAATGACCAATGACCCTACAAGGTTTAAAAGCTGATGAGGAGAAATTGACAATACTGGGTTTCGAATGCATCCTACTTCGGTACTCATCTTAAACATGATTAAACAACCAATGAACCCAAAAGCTTAGGTTGATGAGTTATATACAATAAATTTAATCATTATTATTTCAATTAAATTGTGAAAACCCTAATCGACTAACTTTAGACAGGTTTGATAACTCTACTTGAGATAGAGACCTTCTACTATACACATTTTGGCAAGCTTAATGGTGGACTATGACCCCAACCTTATCTTAATAGCTAAATTGGAGGTATAACATTGTTCTTTTTTTCCTTTCACTTCAACAAATGTAGAGAGAGAGGATCAAAATAGGGGTTTTACTAAAGTATGAAATTTTTGTGATACATGATGGTTTAGAAGGAAAGGTAAGAGGCAGGGGCCAGGGTTGTAGGGTTGGTTGAAAACTTCAAAAATGGCACAAAAAAGTGAGCTTTAAGCAAACTCCAAGCTGCTGCATGGACGAGTAGATGGCATTATATATTATTTGATGGGAGGGTTGCTTTAACAAGTGGCAATTTCTAAAGAAATTAAAATTTAACATAAAAACCAATGAATTAGTTGAGCGTTGAGATTTCACCATCAAATTCGCTACAGATAGTGCCAATATGCAAGAACTTGATTCAATTTGTGTCTGAGCTTCTTAGTTCTTATCAAATCATTTAAGGACCCTAACAAAAAAAAAAAAAATGTTGCAGTGTTTCTTTATTTCTTTCTTTTTTTATTGGAAAAGAAATGTTTTTAATGAAACGTTTCTAAAAATAACAAATGTTTGAATGTTACCAAATGATCCTTAAAATTCCATTCTATAACCATTTTGTTTTTAGTTTTGTGTTTGAAAAATAATCTTATATATAAAACAATTAACTTCTATTATGGGTTCTTTGTTTTGTTATCTAATTTTTCATAACATTTCCAAAATCAAAACTAACTTAAAAAAAAACATACTTTTCAAATTTGGCTTAAAGTTCAAATGTATTTATTGTTTTGTTTTCCTTTTCACATATTTATTGAGTGTGCGAATCAAGTTGTAGAGATCAAATAGATAGCCCTACCTAATTAGATTTTAGCTTCTTCATGAACTAATACTTAAACTCATAGTTTTAATGTAATTTGTATTTTATCTTGTCCATCCTCTATTAAAAAAAATAGAAAAAAATAGTAATAGAGGAAAAAAAATCTTCTCGCAATTTCACGTAAATAATACCGTACATGTCATGCCACCATGACAATCAAAGACTAATAAATAGACAAAAAGATATTGAATCTTAGAGATGGGAGAGAGAAAAAAAGGTGAGGGTTGAAAAAAAAAACAAGTCATAGCAAATAGAAAATGATCCTGATTTTACCTCGATAAGAAAGAACTACTTTTTACTTTTTAATGTAATTTATTCTTAATAAATTAAAGGTATTGTGAGATTTTTACTTAAATAAATCAATAAAAATAGGTTGGGTAAGAAAGCAAGAAAGAAGCTTCTCCTTGCAAATGAAAAGATTAGTTAAAGGTAAAGCAAATAAAATTATATTAGAACATCTTTTTGTTTCTTCCAAGAAAAAAAGAAAAACCAATAAATCATTACCATGAAAGGCATTATCAATAGATAAATGTATGGGACACATGGTGGATTGTCACAGGTGGGTAATCTTATCAAAAAGAAATTAGTGGTTAATCTTAATCTTAGTTTATCGCACGACAGTGACAAACACCGTTTTCTTTGACCAATGAAAAACGCCAAATTTCGTTGGTTATATTCAGTGAGTGACATAAATAATCTCAATTTCAATTTCAACATTTAAATTGAACTTTTCATGTACCAATTGCACCTTCTTAGTCTATTATGTCGTTTTTAAAAAAAAAAAAAATTATTGGGCTTAGACTAAAACAAGCACAAAAAATTGGGCTTTGCCATTTCATTGGGCTCGAAATGCAAATGTTTATAAAATAGCCATTAAATGCAGAATTTAGGGTTCTTCAGGAGGGCAAAATGTAAGGACGTATCGAGGAGCCCTACAGTTTTTAAGGCCTGTGGATTCATCATATGCGTAGCTATAAGCCTTGGGGCAGATTGCCTTAAAAAGATGGGCGAAAATCGAAGGCTTACAAATTTTTGGGTCAGCAAATTTTCCTGTGCAGCAGTACTTGTCCGATTTCGCAGCCAAACAAGCGCTTTTGCAGCCCACAACTTTTCCCCCTCTCTTCACCTCCAGCGCCGACGGGCAGCACTGGTTCACATCCGCC